ATATATGCATAACAAACTGTGAATATATACCAACGGTTAAGGAAGGTGGGTTTATGGTAGGGTTGCCACATAAAAACTGGATATCCAGTTAGATTTGAATTTCAGGTAAACAATTTTTTTAATATTAGTATGTCACAAACATTAACTGGGTATCCTGCATTTTTATTTGCTAACTCTAGCAACCCAATTTATGGGGAATGTTCACTTTTAATGTTACATTTCTGTATTGCTTGAATTTTTACACTGAGCATGTAGTTGTTTTAAAAAGATGCAATCTTTAAATAACATTTAAAAATTTTATGTTGGTAAGGTAGGACTTTATGTAGCTCTTTGAAAACACATTTTTGAGGAACGTTTAATGCTATTTTTAAAAATCCTTACATTGGGGGCAGCTGGATGGCTCAGTCGGTTAAGTGTCTGCCTTTAGCTCAGGTCATGATCCCAGGGTTCTGGGATCGAGTTCCACATCAGGCTCCTTGCTGAGGGGAGCCTGCTTCTCCTTCTCCTTCTGCCTCTTCCCCCTGTTCCCATCCCCACCCCACCCCCGCCCTCCGCTCATGTGCACTCTCTCTCAAATAAATAAATAAAATCTTAAAAAAACAAATAAAAGCTGCATCAAAACTGTAAATACAATATAATCCTGTCTTTTTAAAATGTGGATATAACTCATTATAGTAAGTACAGTAAAACAACTAAAAGAAATCCATCGAAATATTACAACTGATTCTATCACACAGAAAAATTGCAGGAGATTTCTGTTTTTCTTTCTACACTTTTCTGTATTTTCCAGAGTTTTGACAATAAGCTTGAAGCAATTTTACCATGAAACTTGCCTATACTATATTAAGTGAAAAAAACAGCTTGTAAAATTAGTATACTGTATAAACCCAATTATATAGCAAAAGATTGGAAATATTAATAGGGAATTATTAATAATTTTAATTCTTTTTGTACTTTCTTATATTTAAAGAAATAAAACTTTGGTTTTTAATTGATGGATCCATTATCTCTGCTAACATAAAAAGATGTTTATAATATATTCTTGAATGATAAAAGCTCTAAGAAAACTGTAGTATTATCTGTGCTGCAATTTCTAACAGATTCATGAATGAGTGCAAGAGATGTCTGGAAGGATATACTTCAAGGTATTAATGATGACAATGACAATCTCTGAGTGTGGGGAATGATGGATATTTTTACATTTTTTATCTGCATTTTCAGATTTTTAATAAAATAATCGTGTCATAAAACATCAAGAGACACTTCATTTTGAAGAAAAGAAAGTTGGGTGACCTGGGGGCTTGTCAAACATGAGTTCGTTTCTGGGCACCTGTGTGGCTCAACCAGTTAAGTGACTGCCTTTTGCTCAGGTCATGATCCCAGTGTCCTGGGATCGAGCCCCGCGTTGAGCTCCTTGCTCAAATAAAAAACACACATGAGTTCATTTCAGTTATTGACATTCTCTTCTCCATGTCAGCTGCCTTAAACTTTGCAAGCTGCAAAACCTAGGAAGCAGCTAACAGTCCAATGAACTATCCAGTTGAGCAAGCAAATACCTGCTGACTTACCATCAGCAAGTCTGAGTCAGGGACAGTGGTCCAGAAAGACAGCCTTCATCCTTGTGCTATGTGACCATGGACAAATTACTGAGCTTCTCTGTAGACCTTGGTTTACTCATTTCTATATAGGGAATGCTGCAAAAAATCACTGAAGTGGAGGAGTGCCTGGGGGGCTCAACCGTTAAGCATCTGCCTTCGGCTCAGGTCATGATCCCAGGGTCCTGGGATTGAGTCCCGCATCCAGCCCTGCATTGGGCTCCCTGCTCGGCGGGAAGCCTGCTTCTCCCTCTCCCTCTGCCTCACCCCCATCTGCTCATGCTCTCTCTCTCCCTCAAATGAATAAATAAAATCTTAAAAAAAAAAAAAAAGATCACTGAAGTGGAGCAAAATAGTAAGTCAAGCAAAAAATAAAATTTTTTGGAATTTAACCTATGGCTACAGTTAGTATTTACATAAACATAACCATGAACCCAAACTTACATTCTGTGCTTATTCCCCGGGACTGGAAATTCTAACGGAGTAAGCACAGATGCTTGTTAAATATTAAGGTATTACATGGCAATGGGGGAGGACATACATACAAGGACATACATTTCTATAAATAACTATATAAAGGTAGCTAACCAGCTGGAGGAGTCCTTACCCAGGCCCTGGTGATTTTTCACAGGATTTGAGGAACAGGCTAGAGAAGGGACACATTACAACAAAGTCATTTAGACATTTATTTATTCTTTTAAGTGTGATTAAAAAAATAACAAAATTTACCATCTTAACTATTTTTAAGTGTGCAGTTCAGTAATATTAAGCATATTCACACTATTTTGCAGCCAATCTCTGGAACTTTTTCATTTTGTAAAACTGAAACACTGTGCCCACTAAACGATAACTCCCCTTTCCCCCTCTTCCCAGCCCCTGGCAACCACATTCTACCTTCTGTGTCTGTGACTTTTTAGATACTTCATACAGGTGGAATCATACAATATTTATCTTTTTGTGATGCACAAAAGTTTTAAGATTGATGTTATCCCATTTGTCTATTTTTGCTTTCATTGCCTGTGCTTTTGGTGTCTTATCCAAGAAAGCATTGCCAAGTCCAACATCATGAAGTTTTTTCCCCATGTTTTCTTCCAGGAGTTGTATAGTTTGGGTTTTACATTCAGGTCTTTAATCCATTTCAAGTTAATTTTCACATATGTTTTAAGATAACGATCCAATTTCATTCTTTTGCATGCGTTTGGGAATCTTTAACAGCTGTGAGACCCAGGCTCCTCTTTATTGCCTCCTGTTTTCTGTTCTGATCACAGAAATATACCTAGAAGTGAATCCAGGTAAAGGAAATAAAATCTAAGGGGTACTTGAGGGGGCATTTTCTCTGGGAAGTGAATGGTGAGGTTGAAGGGCAGCCTACTATAGTGGGCAGCACCTCTGCTTCCAACATCCATCCAAAGCATGATGGGAAAGAACCAGATGCCCCACATTTGGGGTTTTTCCAGTTCCTCTACCCTATTTCCCTACTCAAGAGATACAAAAATGGGAGGCACCAACCTATTGTGCCATCTTTTCTTCCGGTGAAAGCATCTGATGCCCTGGGTCTCTTTTTTACTGTGGCAAATGGGACAATATCAAAGAAAACCTGATTGTCTTTCTCTCGTGTCCCCCAGTCCCTCGACCTAGATACATTCAGAAGTAGTCCATTCTTTTCTTCTTCTTTCTCTCCTTCTTCTTCTTCTTCTTCTCCTCCTCCCCCGCCTTCTCCTCCTTCTCCTTCTTCTTTCTCTTTCCTTCCTTTGTCTTTCTTCTTTCATCTTTTCTTGGCTCCTTTAATCTCCCAGAGCCAAGACATCATCTCAGTAAACACCAGCTCTTCACCTCTCCCTCATGTAAAAAACAAACAAACACACCTCACAACCGTTCTCGTTTTACTATGATCACTCTTTTCACTCTCTCCAACTGGGTCACAATGTGTAAAGCATCTTCTTATCTGCATCCAAGTTAGCAGTAAGAAAGGAAAGGAAGAAAAGGGAAAGAAATATTTAATGAACCCCTACAATATGCCCAATGTCTGGCACTTCAGGTACTTTGACTCATTTAATCCTCATAGCCAAATGAGATCAATATTATTATTATTCCCATTTTGCAGATAAGGAAATCGAGAGTGAGAGTTTAAATCATGCCCCCAAGGGGACAGCCAGGATTTAAGCCCACAGCTCAGAACCTGTGCCCTCTTCTTTACTCTAGATTTCTTTCATTTCTAGGGAGTTTACCTTTTCACCATATTCAACCTGATTATGTTTCTATGGAACTGTCATTACTGCTTCTAATTGTGTTTCTTTGATAATTTCTAGGATACTGCCAGAAAAGATTGGGTAACAAATACTAATACTAACACTAATGTTTTCAATTTATGTAATAAAACCTTACAATTTCTCAACATAGCCATCCATTCTCTCATCTCATCCTCAAGAAAAACAGGTTGCAAGGACTCATACATGCTTATTGCAAATAAAATTAAGAAATTTATATTAAGAAAGTTATAAAGGAGAAAGTAAAAAAAAAACAACCTAAATCCAACTATTCAGAGATAACCATTATTAATATTTTAGTAAATGGGATGCCTGGGTGGCTCAGTTGGTGAAGCGTCTGCCTTCGGCTCAAGGGTCCTGGAATCAAGCCCCACATAAGGCTCCCTGCTCAGCGGGGAGTCTGCTTCTCCCTCTCCCTTTATCCCTCCCCCTGCTCATGCTCTCTTTCTGTCTCTCTGTCTCTCTCTTAAATGAATAAAATCTTTAAAAAATATTTTAGTAAATACATATTTCATAAAACTCTCTTTTTGTATAATTTGCCTCAATGATATCATACTGTACCTGCCTCTCTAGCCTGCTTCTTTCATTCACAGTATGTTGAAAACAGCTTTCCACATCAGTAAATATACATTTACATAATCATTTTTAATGGCTACATAGTATTCCACTTTAGGAGTGTATTTTACTTGACCAATCTCCTACTGATGGACTGAGACTACTTCCAATTTTTTATTGTTGGAAGAAATTGTTAACTCCCATATAAGATTAGAGAACTGAAGCTCTGAGAAGCTATATGACCCCTTTTTAAAACTCTAGGTCAGGAAGTAATGCTTAAGCTAAACCCCTGACTTCTGACTCTTAAAGCAGTGCTCTTTTCAACTAAAATACCAAGATCAGGAAACTGGGATTTGTAACATATATATGGACTTGACAACTAAAAATGAGATTTTTTTAAATAACTGGTCCATTTCTTAAGAGGTTAAGTATATACTTACCATAAAACCAGTCATTCCATTCCTATGTATTAACCCCAAATAAATGAATGCATATGTCCATACAAATACTTGTACATAATTGTTCATAGCAGCTATTTCTAGTATTCGAATAATGTAAACAATCTAAATATGTTTATCAACAGGAAAATGGCTAAACAAATTCTGATATATCTGTACAATGGAATAATACTCAGCAATCAAAAGGTATGAGCTATAGATACAACATGGATGAATCTTGAAAATATGATCTTGAGCAAAAGAAGCCAGACAGAAAGGACTACATTCTGCATACCTCACTCACATGAAGTTCAACAGACAGAAGTAAGCTATAGCATTACAAAGTGACCAATGAGGCCTAGGGTTGCAAGGAAACTTGAATGGATGGTGAGGGATTGACTGGGAAGGGGCATAAATGGGCATAAATGGACTTTATGGGTTGGATTGATGGAATTGTTCTCTATCTTAATTACGGTGATGGTTAGTTGGGTGTATCCATTTGTCAAAAGTCATCAAATGGTACACTTTTTTTTTTTTTTTAGATAGAGAGGAGTGGGGAGAGGCAAAGGGAGAGGGAGAGAGAGAATCTCAAGCAGACTCCCCGCTGAGCGTGAAGCCTGATGCGGGACTCGATCTCACGACCCTGAGATCTCATGATGAAATCAAGAGTCAGATGTTTAAGCAACTGAGCCACCCAAGTGCCCCTCAAATGGTACACTTTAAATGGTTAATTTTATTGTATGTAAATTATAACTCAGTAAAGTTTTCTTCTTTAAAACTGACCCTTTGGTTTTGTCTCCATGCCCGTGTGCAGCATGAGGTAGAGATAAACATTTGGCATGCATAATAAATGGCTGTCACTGAATGAATGACTATACTTGCCGCTTAAGAGGATGAAAGACACTTATTTGGTCCTTTCACACTAGCAGGGATTTACTACCTATCAGGGGAATAAATCGTCTTCACGGACTTGACCCAAAGAGGCGAGCTACCGCTCAGCATAGGGGCCTATAGATGTTGCTGCTTTGGGCGGCCAGACAGTAGCTGGGCCCTAGACAGTACGGTCCTCAACAGTGGGCCTCAGGCAGGCATCTGGGTAGGAGCCAGGCCTCAGGGACACAGCCCTCCCCTCAGCATACACTTCACAGGGGCAGACCTGCCCAGAAGGGCCACATGTGTGAAGCCCCAGCCATGCCACCACGCATGCAAAAGCTGAAGGGTTCCATGAGAAAGAAGTCTTGGTGTTAAAAATAAACTTTCAAGGGGAAAAACAAGAGCCATTTTCTGAAGCTGGGCAAAGGTGAGCATTTCCTGGAAAGTTATATGCCTCAAAAGTTAATTTGAATTTCAGAGGGCCATGATAATGACTCAAGTGTGAGAGCACCTCAAGGGCCCTGCCTCAGAGGCAATAGAATTTGCTGGCCTCCCTCAGTCTCTCTCCTGCTCACCCCCAGAACTTCAGAGACCACTTTTAAGATGATCTCAATTTCTATAGAAAAGGGGAAATTAAAGTGAATTTTAGGTGCTCAAGTGAATAAGAATGTCAGAGGGGCTTGCTTGGAAAAGAAAGCAAAACAAAACAAAACTGAAAGCCCAAAGAAGAATCTCTATAAATAAATGTGTCTGTGTAACTGATCATGACAGCCAAAGCAAAATGTTTGTTTTCTCTGCAAAAGTATGATGTATGTGTGTGTGTGTGTGTGTGTGTGTGTGTGTGTGTGTGTGAGAGAGAGAGAGAGAGAGAGAGAGAGAATGATATGAATGAGTCTGAGAGAGAGAAAGTGAATTTTTCATTTCTTACCAGACCTCACATGACCAAAAGGTACTAAGGTCCATAACCAACAAACTCCCAATCTTCCCCTGTGTATATTCTCAAGCCAGTGTTTCTCTGAGTGTAATTTCCTGTACTACTTACATCAGAGTCACTTGGGGGAAGGGGAACTCTTTCAAAAATGTCCATTCCTGGGTCCCATGTCCCTAGAACCTGAGTCAGTGTGTCTGGGATGGAGCCCAGGAATCACCAGGTGATTCTTATGTACACTAAAACTTGAACATCATTACTTTAGACAAACAGTTAATTGTTTATTGATGGTTTGCTCAATAGTACACCTTGATTGTAGGTTCACAAATTGAACTGTATTTTCACTGGTATATTTGAATTACATCTGTCTCAAGAAAAGCAACTATGAATCAGTGAAGAAACAAATCAAAACAAACTGCAGGATGGTTGGGAATGTAACCCATGCAATCTTTCTTAGATTGGTTGCAATATGTATCAAAATCCTTCCAAATACTTTGACTCAGATTATCCACTCCTAGTCATGTATCTTAAAATAATGTAATGAGTGACCTGAGATATGTACAAGAATGTTGATTTTGCCATTGTTCATAATAGTGAAATACTAGAAACCATCTAAATGTCTAACAACAGGAAGTTAGTTAAATAAGTTATGATAGCATCATATAATAAATCCAGATTGATATTTATTGACATGGAAACATGTTTACAATACTGTATTGTTCAAGAGAAAAAGAAGATTACAAAAAAATTTTATCATGTTTCATTTCTTTACCAAATTAAAAACAAAAAAATTGGAAGATAAGAAATAAAATGTTAACAGTAATTATCTCTGAGTGGTAGGGTTACAAGGAATATACATTTTTCTTCTTTATAACTTTTCTAAATTGTTTTTAAAATAAGATATATTATTTTTAATCAGGAAAAAGCAACAAGGCTATATTCATTTCAAATAAAAGGTAACAGGCCACTGAGGTCCATGTCAGAAGATTGGGTTAGGGGCGCCTGGGTGGCTCAGTCCATTGGGCATCTGATGTGTGCTCAGGTCATGATTTCAGGGTCTTGGGATAGAGCCCCACATCTGGCTCTGTGCTCAGTGGGGAGCCTGCTTCTCCCTCTCCCTCTGCCGTTCCCCTACTTGTGCTTGCACTCTCTGTCTCTCTCTCTCAAATAAATAAATAAAATCTTAAAAAAAAAAAAGATTGGGTTAAAGTCCCAGATCTGCTGCTTTGAACCGCACTTTTCTTTTCTCTGACATGGAGATTGTAACACCTGTACTGCACACCTCAGAGGGTACTTATGAAATAAAATATGGAAATGTTTTGTAAACTATAAGATGTTTTATAAGGTTAGTGTATTGTATTGATTTTTCACATCAGAGAACTGAATTCATTCAATACCTAAATACAACACACAAAGATCTGTCATTAAAGCATAATGCTAGACCTTTAAAAAATTTTTTTTGCTTCTTATTATGGAAACATTTTAAACATATATAAAAAGTAGGCACAATAATATAATAAACTGCCACATATACATCACCTGGCTTCAATATTATCAACTTAGGGTCAATTCTGTTTTAGCTATATCTACCCCCTATTCCCTTTCTCCCATTAACAAAGTGCCAGATTTTCAACTGACACTGAACCTCTGTAACTTTCACGTACATGGGAGAATGTTGCAGTCCTTAGTTCCTCATCCAAAAACATAGACTTGAACGTTTTAAAAAGGTGAATTTTCTGGTATTTGAATTACATTTCAATTAAAAAAAGAAGGACAAGGGTACCTAGGTGGCTCAGTCTGTTGAGCGCCCAACTCTTGGCTCAGTTCATGATCTCAGGGTGGTGAGATTGAGCCCCATGTCAGGGTTCTGCATTCAGCAGGGAGTCTGCTTGAGATTCTCTCTCTCCCTTTCCCTCTGCCCCTTGCCCCCACTCTCTGTCTCCCTCCTTCTCTCTCACTCTCTAAAAATAAATATTTTTTTAAAAAAGACAGGAATTAACATATGTGCAAAACTTAGCATAAATGTCTGGCATTTAGAAATGACTCATTATGGGTAACTTCTCATCCATGGTGTTGTCATCACTTCAAGCTCTAAAGTGGCTACAAACCCTTCTTGAAAAAATACTCACTAAAAAACAACTAGAGTGTGAACAGTGACAATATTGTGTCAAGTGTGGTCATGAGATTGTGGGTGACATTTTCCCCTCAATATATATGGAAACCTTCTATGATTTATATTAAAATCTTGTATGAGTCATAATATATACCACTTAAAATTGGAAAAAAAATACCCCAAAACGGTAACCAGCCATATTATCTCTCCAGATTGTTCATTCTTGGAAGGCATTCTACCAGAAATTTAACACCACCACAAAGACTTGATTTAATGCCATTCCTAAAGATTATGCATGCAAATCAGCATTGGCGTAATCATAGGGGCCTTGAATCCTGACACACTTGAGTTCAAATTCCAGCCCTGTCGCCTATCAGCCATGTGATGTTGGGAAAATGAATTACTACTTCTAAATCTTATATTCTACCTCTTACAATCAGTAAGAGACCCAAATAGGAGAATGCAGTATAAAGCACTTAGCATGATGCCCAACACATAGTGGATTGGCAATGACCCACTACAAGATATTCCCTTCATTTCTAGAATACCTTTAAGAAGCGTACCGTAATATTGTTTTCCCTTTGATGGACGAAGAAAATGACAAACTTAATTAGCATTGCTGAGGGTGTGGAGCCAGATGACTGCTCATTTGCTACTGGGAAAGTTAAAATAGGGACAACCACTCAACACAGCCACTATTTGGCAATGTCTAGGAAAGTTGAAGAGGCGGTTTTCCTGACATCCCAGCAAGTCCATTTCTAGGTATATGCCCTAGAAAATGTGTGGCAAGGAGACAGACACAAAAACGTTCATTGCAACAATACTTATGCGAGCAAAAAATTGGAAGCAATCTAAATGTCCATCAACAGGGAAATGGATAAATCTATTGTGATATAATCATGAAATGAAACACCTGCAGCAGTTCAAATGACTAAACTAGTTACATGTGCAACATGGGTAAATCTCAAAACCATGAGGTTGAAGGAAAAAATAGTGGTGGAAGAATTTGTACAATATGATGTGATTTTTATAAGGTCTAAAAACAGGTGAAACAATAGGATACAATCTTTATGGAATCATATATATCAGCTTTTACAAATAAGTAGGAACACCTGGCTGGCTCAATTGGAAGAACATGTGACTCTTGATCTCAGGGTCGTGAGTTTGAGCCCCACATTTCGTGTAGAGATCACTTAAAAATGAAGGAATGAATAAATAAGTAAACAAACTTAAAAAATATATAATAAGTAATGAATTCAGAAGGATGGTTATTTCAAGAAAGAAAAAGAAGGGAACGTAATAGGGGAGATATACATACGCATGTGTGTAATTGTTTCTGTAGTATTTTATATCTTTAAAAGTATCTAGGGGCACCTGGCTGGCTCAGTTGATGGAGTGTGAGACTCTTGATCTTGGAGTTCTGGATTCCACCCGCATGTTGGGTGTAGAGCTTACTTAAAAATAAAATCTTTAGGGGCGCCTGGGTGGCTTAGTCAGTTAAGCCTCTGCCTTCGGCTCAGGTCATGACCACAGGGTCCTGGAATAGAGCCCCGCATGGGGCTCCCTGCTCAGCGGGGAGTCTGCTTCTCCCTCATCCTCTGCCGCTCCCCCTACTTGTGTGTGCTGTCTCTCTCCTCTCTCTCTCTCAAATAAA